TGTGTCATAAACAAACCGAGATTATTTTCAAATGTTAAATAAGTTAGTTTGCAATAATTTATGTAAACAACACTCTTTATTAACGCAACAAAAATAAAGCAACTTTTTGCTTTGCCATAGAAAAAGAGTCTACGATTAAGGTAAGTTTATAAAAGCATATTTTTGGGTTAATTAAGCAAACTTTTTTAAAGACATAAATATGCCAAAAGGGAAACCAATATGCTTAGAGCTAAAAAAATGGTAGTGAACGCCTTTTTGGAGGGGAAAAGTGTGACTACCATTTCCAGGCTATTTGTCTTGCCCATATACAGTATGATGAAAAAAAGGCGCCCGTGTTAACCCACACGTTATAAGTGATCTTTTATTAAAGACGAATTCGAAGACCAAAATTAGATTTGTGCTCTTATCAGTAAGATATAGACTTTCCTTTTTAGAAAAGAGAAATCTATATAATTAACAGTTTTAAAATAATTTCATTGTTAAAGTCTAGATTTTGATACTGTTGACGGTGTTCTTAAAAAAAATGTGTAAAAAGTCTATTGAAATAAACTTTATTAAAGATGTTTGGATACCATTTCTTGGCTCCAAAGAAAATTTATCAATGTTGCAACATTGCAAATATCCTAGGATACAGAAAATGTCCAAGTAATATGCAATTATTGGAAACTGTAGCAACAAAAAAAATCAATTTTCAATGTTGTTTGTTCTGTGAAATTTGAACGATTAAAGTCAAAAAGGTTTCCTAGATACGAAAAATACCTGAGTGAAATAATTTTTTAGTAAAAGAAATTTGTACAATATTGCCGCTTTGTGCTGTTAGACAAACTGTTTAAATTTTAAAAAGAATCTATTTAAACTATTTTTGGAATGATGGTCACAATGTTTCAATAAAAAAGGACGCGCCTGTTTCAATCGTGGGAGTCTTTTTTTCATCACCTTGTATAGTGTGTCCAAAATAATTTCGCGTTATAATGTAAGAGTACATGTAGAAAAAATGCCTAAAACAGGAAGGTCTAGAAAAACTGCAATATGGAAGGGTAGGAGAATTAAAAGAATTTCTCAAAGAGATCCATGACTATCAGCACCAAGAATAATTAGTGAAATTCCTGAACTAGAAGTTAGCTCACGAACAGTTCAACGAAGATTAGTTGAAGCAAAACTGTACAGTAGACGTCCAGCTAAGAAACCATTGGTTTCAGAAAGAAATCGTCTTGCCAGGCTCTTGCATTTGCACGACGACATTTGAACTGGACAGTTACACGATATAAAATTTTTAATTCTGATGAGATGAGGCGTGTAAGGCGTCCAGTTAACACCAGATTTCATCCAACGTACGTTACACCAACAATAAAACACGGACGAGGAAGTGTATTTTTATGGGGTTGTTTTTCGTGGACCGGAGTAGGGGTCAGTGAAGTTAGCACCCCCACTTAAGAATTTTTAAATATAAATAATACCATAATTTTGCACACATTTTGCACAATTTTGCACACTAAGTTTCGAATTTTGCACACCTATGATAGGGATCCTATGATTGAAATTATATTGGGGGTGCTAACTTGACGGTGACACCCCCACTTCAATATATGTTTAAAAATTTTATGTCAATTGTATTATTGGATTTTGCACAATTTTGCACACTTTTTATTAAATTTTGCACACCCTTACTTTACGAGTAATTACTAATTAAAAAAAAATTTTCAGCACCCCCAATTTAGCGTAAACGCATAATTTTTATACCAATGAAATCATTTAATTTTGCACAATTTTGCACATCTTTTACTTAGTTTTGCACAGTTCGTCTTATTACCAATTAAAAACCGTAGCACAATCTTATACGGAATTCGGGGTATTGCACTATTTTCATGAAACTTTACTCTTACAATGACTGGAGATATAATAAACTTCTTCTCAATTTTATTTTTACTTTATTTATTACTTTACAAGTAATTACCTATCATTAAAAAAAACCTTTGCAAAAAGGATCATAGGTGTGCAAAATTCGAAACTTAGTGTGCAAAATTGTGCAAAATATGTGCAAAATTATGGTATTATTTATATTTAAAAATGATTAAATGGAGGTGCTAACTTCACTGACCCCCGGAGTAGGCCCACTATACTTCATTGACGGATCATTATCTTGTTGAAACACGAAGCGCGGAGGCATTTCCCACTCAGCATAAGACAACATGATATTTTGGAGTATGTCTCGGTATACCAACCGATCCGATCCGAAACACAAGTCTCGCCTTGTTCAGGACTGGTTTCAGGAGAATGATGTCCAGGTTCTGCAGTGGCCAGCACAATCACCTGACCTCAATTCCATCGAGAACCTTTGGGAAGAGGTTGAACGTGGTATTCGTACCACGAACTTCCCTAACAAGCAATCGTTGATTGATAAAATTAACGAAGTTTGGACGAATCTACCAATGGCTAAAACACAAAATTTATTTCATCCATGCCGCGTCGATGTCAAAAAGTGATAGCAAATAATGGTTATCCGATTAATTACTAATTCATAATCTTGTTAAATTCGTTTTTGTTGTTAAGTAATTTTTTTTTGTAAAAGTTGCTTTACTTTTATCGCATATAATTTTGCTATGTTTCAATAAGTAAAACACTTGAAAACCTGAATGATAACCGATGCCAATAAAAATATTGTTTTTACATTTTACTTATAATACCAAAGCAAAAAGAAATACATTTCGTCAGATAATAGAAGGAACTATAAAGATAACTATACAAAGATTTTTTTTAATAGTTGCTTTACTTTTGTCCGATAATATGTACATACAGGGTGTCCCCGGATAGGTGAAACGACTCTTGAAAAAGACAAAAAAGTTTGATTAAAATTTTTGTTTTTTGGGGTTCAGCCCTGGTTGGTTAAAGACTAATTTCTAACATTATTTTAGTTTTGAAAGTTCAAGTTTGCCTTGGAAACTTTCGAAAAAAATAACTTTCTGCCTTTTGTGTGGCAAATGCGACAAGAAGTTATTAAGAAAAGTTGTTTAAAAAATCAACATCTAGGCCCATATAACAAATTTCAAAATCATCGACGAACTAAAAGTGAATGGATCAACTTCATCATTTATTTATAACATATCTTGCATAGATTGTATTATTTAATGAATTTTAAAAACGTTTATTAATGTAACACACAGAGTAGGTTGAAGATTGTAATGATCCCAGAAAATCTATCACTTAATTGATCCCAGAAAAAATTGGTATTAATCAATATTTAGCGCAAGACAGGTGTTCAAAAATAGATGAATTTGACTGGTAACTGACAGATGTTGATGTTATTATTCAAGATATACAGGGTGTTCGGTCCAAGTCACACCGGTCGATAACACCTAAACATACTTTTTTCTTCAAAAACTAATTTTTCAAATAATACTATTCATTCTTCGTTTTCTTAGTAAATGCATCAAATCCGGTTAGCAAATCCGGTGTAGCCGGAAATGCTACCAAATTTAGTTTTTCAAATGGAACACCTATGTTTTTTTGCTCGAAACAATAATAATTGGCATTAAAAATACGGTAAACCACTATTTATTAAATTTTACTGTACATAATGCACTCAGAAAACAATTTAAAGTTTTGTATTTTATTGTAAATTTTGCAATGTAGTATTATATTATGTATATTGTATTGTAAATTTTGTCAAGGTATTTATGCAAAAAGTAATATGCTTGAATACCGTTTAATTGTCAGTTTTACAAAACCTAATTTGTTAATAAATCTTATTGAGATCTTTAATAATGGATGATATTAATTACGACGAATTGGTAGATCAGCTTGAAGTGTTTTTTAAGTGCAATAAAAATAGAGCGGCTGAAAGACAGTATAGAGAAAAATACTCAAATATAGTTCACTCAAATTCTTGGAAACTTAGTCGAATTGAAAAACAACTGAGACGAATAGGTTCGCTTCTTAAAACTAAAAAACCTATGGTTCTTTGTGAAGAACAAGAAAAGAGAAATCTGAATGTTCTGTTATCAGTCGAAGAAAATCCAAGAGTTTCCATAAGAGAAAAACTGACAAATTAGATTTGCCAAACCAACAATTAAACTGTATCCAAACATTTTTTTATTCACACCTTTCCTTTAAAATTAAAAATCAGGTTACGCGACCAATTTCCTTATAGAATTCTAAGATTTAAAATATTTGCTGATTGCATTGTGTTACGAAAAATGTAATAAATAGTGGTTTACCGTATTTTTCATGCCAATTATTATTGTTTCGAGGAAAAAAACATAGGTGTTCTATTTGAAAAACTAAATTTGGTAGCATTTCTGGCAACACCGGATGTGCTAAAAAATTTTGATACATTTATTAAGAAAGCCAAGAATGAATATTATTACTTAAATATTTACTTTTTGAAAAAAAGAAGTAAGTTTAGTTGTCATCACCCTGTATGTTTCTTCAAGATGTAGATTCTTTTATAAACACCTTGTAAAATTGTTAAAGATAAGAAAAATAAAAAAATAAAATCTTTATAATTTATCTTTCACTAGTCGTAATGATTTTAGTTTTATAACTACATAGTTCAACGTAAATTGCTAAAATACTTTATTCAATAACACCATAACTTTAAAAATTACCTACATACTATTAATTTAACGACAGTAAAATAATTTTTATACTTGTTTTTGTGCTTTTCCAACTTTTCAACAGAAATAGTTTCCAGACAATCCAATGTTTTTTCTAAATATCGATCAGCAAACCCGCACTATGTTTTCCCCGGTTTTAGATGTCGATTTGCCGTCAAACGCATTAATAAAATTTTTTGTTGTTTTTTGGGCACGCTTGCATATCGTTGTATCGTCAATAAAATGTTTAATTAAGAAAACAAGCATAAGCGTTAGTTAGTCTTAGAGAATGCGTTTGATGAGTAGAGTGTTGTTAGTTAGGAAACAATCCCTTTTACGAAACGTCCTTGATGTCTCGACATTGCGCCAAAGGGTTTGCGGGCAAATATTTGCAGGGCCTTGACGTACCGTAGGCATAAGCTGGTCGGTGCTCCTGACCCTCGTCACCTTGTTCTTGTAGATGAGTTTTTTGACTAGCCTTTCCATGGGCTGGTTCCACTTCATAAAGCTGACATATAGGATGTAGAACGAGAAAAGCACAAGCGCCTCGTACCAGTAAATGTAGTTATCTCTAAAGAAAATGATGAGCGTAATGAGACTAAGCGAGTAAAAGAAGCAGTCTCTGAAGAGGGGCCACCAAGTGAGGGACAACACGGTCTTGGAGAAGATCGCGCACATCCCGATCACGAAGAGGATGTTGAAGACGGCCGAGCCGACGATGGTGCCGATGCCGACGTCGTCGAAAGAGACGAAAACGCCGATGACGCTAGTGAAGAGCTCGGGCGCCGATCCGCCCGCCGCCATGAAGGTGGCACCGGCGACGTCGTCCTGGATGTCCAGCTTCTCGATGATGACATCGAGCGCCGGCACGAAAAACTCATCGCAGACGATGGCCAGCGCCACGAACATGTAGACGACGCCGAGGATGTGGAGGATGATGGCACCGTTGCGCCGCTCCTCTTCGGTGAAGAGGTCCCGCGGGAAGAGCGGGTCGTGGTGCTTCGGCTCAAGAGTGGGGACGGCGAGGGTCGTCGTCACGTTGTCCTCCTGGAGGTCGTCATCGGCGAGCGCCGCGGCGTCCAGCGCGAGCAGCACGCAGAGGAGCGCGACGCGGCAGCTGGTCATTGTAGCGGCAAAGAGAGCGTCTTCGACGAGGTCATTGCCACAGCGAGGCCGGGCGCGGACTGGACCACCGTTCGATAACCGGAGGACCGCGCACTCTGCGCTAGTGCAGTGCACCACCCGGCGCGCGCCCAAAACGAGCACACCCCCTTACCTGATACATCAATGGCTGACTACACTGTTTTACCTTCTACAACCCCATCCTCCACCGAACACTATTCACATTCTTATAAAATTAAATACCAATAATTGCTCCTGCATTGTGACAAACCAAGAATCTGTGCTCCACTTCAAACCCTAAAGAAAAATCTGCTGAATCAATAATAACAATCGCCCGGTGAAAGAGTTTACATTATTGTCGAGAGATGGCAAACTTGGTTACTCGTTTTACTAAACTATTACTACCGTGCGATCAAAAAAATAAGATAAATTAGAGTAGGCGGTTCTTCTGATGGCAATCCTAATTTTTGCAGTCAAATGTCAACGGAAACTTTGACAAGTTTGCGTTTTATTCCTTTTGAGTGAAATAATGTTCACTTTAGAATAGAATAGTATATTAAAGTACAAGTTGCAGAAGTTTGAAATTCCGAAACGAGCCGCGAAGCGGCGAGTTGAGCAACAAATGAGTGCTTGAAGAATCTTCTGCAACAAGTGCTTTATACTATTTTTTCTATTTCGCCGCTTTATATCATTTTATAAATTAAAAAATGAAAATGATTTTTTTTTTCTAGAGAATTTTGCGGTTGGCGACATTAATGTGTGGAATAATTTTAGGCGGCTGTAAAAAATAAAAATTATTCTTATTTTCACATTTGGAAATGAATTGTGAAGAAAGTCCGTCACTAAAATTAAATTACCGCGAATGACTTATTCCAGCATGCAAATGACATCATTTGGGTGTTGGAATAGACTTATTCTAACACGGAAATAGAATTTTTTTTTATTGCTGTACAAGAGGAAAACTGTCGATGATCATTTCACTTTCAGTTTGTGTGAAAAATTTCCAGCCCAGATTCCCAGCCAATGTGTTGCCAACTGTAGAATTTAATCGACGCCTACTCTAATTTATTTTTTATTTGATCGCACGGTATTTTCTGTATTAAAATTCACTTTTTTCTTTTCTTTGGAAATTCACCAAGTGCGGGTGAATTTGTCATTCCATACACAACATAAATATTTATATCATAGTTTTTGTAATTTGGATAGTATACACAGGTGTCCCGTTTTTGCACGTAACGTACAGCGTACACTTGGTTGCCAAAAAATCGGAAAATTCAAAGCATAAAAATGTCAGATTTTTATATTTATCCATTATTTGAACATGGCTTAATTCTAAAAGGTTAAGTTAGAACTGATAGTTAATCTGTAGTACTCACTACTCATTGGGTTTTCACATAAATACTCAACTAATTGATTATCTTGAATTGCATTTGATGCTCTCGGCATTTAAGTGCGGCATTGCAGAAAAAATTATTTGGATGCGACAGATGACAAAATGACAATTAAATTAACAAGGGCAAAACTTGTTTCAATCTAAAGAAAATTCTATTTTCCGTTTTTATTGCAACCAACTGTACAGAGTGCTGCATTTTGGATGTCCGAATAAGGAATCTCCGAAACTAAGATGTTTATCCAAAAACGAGTGATACATTCTGGGGCACATTTTTTGAGAAAATAATATTGGTTAAGACCGCATCCCGCTATCGTCTTTTGTTTTCGACTTACAGACTAAAGTTGACATTTTGGCGAAATCTAAAAAAAATCATATCTTCGTCATTATAAAAGATACGGATTTGAAATAAAGACATTATTTATACAGGCACTTTTTTACGAGGAATTTAATAATGTAGTTAACATTTTTTTACTTATTGGTTTAGCCGTAATAAAATAAACTTGTATTTTTTTTAAATGGAAATCATAGACGGCTACAGCAATTTTGAAGAGCTTATTTTCTTCTGATCTAAAAAATACAATATATTTGTAACAAAATATTCTTTTATAATTATACTTTGAAAATGAAATACATATTTTGTTTGATAATATAGTTGGCCATGGAAAAACTATTTCACTCCAAATGTGTAAATAATAATCAATAAGAGTTTTATGAACTGTAAAATAGATGGAAAAATAGATAAAATTTTAAAAAATAAAAAAATATGATATGGTAGAAGTATTGAACAAATATGCGAGCGCCTCAGAACAAAATTATTACATATTTTTAAGAAATCCAAAAATAGGAAAAACAAATGTGTCAACAGTCAACACAATTAGAAAAAACATTTTTTTGATGATCTAATGGAGGTATAGGATAACGTTCTACATAGACGGAATTTGGGTACTTGAATAACCATATCGTCATTTTTGTGTCATAAAATATATTTTATTGAAGAATTAAAGCGGCTTTTTTACAACATTCTATCTATCACTAGAAGTTACAATGGTAATGTTAGATTGTTTAAAAACAATGCATTATAAATTATTTCCAAACACCGCTTGAAATTAAAAATTATAATTAGACTAAACAATATTTTTTGCATTCATAAGGGTCTCTTAAACGACTATCAAAAATGCATAAAAAACTTTCGTTGTTTGAGTATGAAAAATTTTCTTTATCTGCAAACGTCACAAAAGTGACCACTTTTATGACTAAATGACACAGGTAAAAGTTTTACTTTTCAGACATGGAGTAAAAACACTGTTTTTACGCCTAGGCGTTTTCACTTTTACTTGACACTTACTTTGACATTTACCACTGTTGTCTCTTTCTTGTCCCTTTCGCTTTTTCAGCATTTTCTGCAGAGGTACAAGGTATATTATCAGCATTCGACATTTTGCACTATTAACTACACCAGTTATTCACCAGTTAAATCAATCAACACTTTCGAAATCTCAACACAAATTGCGAAACTGACGCGTGACGTTTGTTATGATTTTATTGCAAAGCGTCCTGATTATTGAGGTGATTTACTTGATTATTGGTGTGTTGCTCTTTTCGTTCCTTTTGAATCGTTTGCAGATAAAATAGTATATGTTATTTGGAGTAAAAGTGAGTTTATGTGGCTCAGCTGAATCCATTTGCCTCACTCCGTTCGGCAAAATGAACGTTCAGCTTCGCCACATAAACAATCACTTTTACTCCTAATAACATAATCTACTATTAACTGAAATTGTAAAAATGTCGAAAACAATGCGACCGGTTAAAATGCTCTACGATTAGTTGCCCATTTAGATATTGCGTTATTTTGGAGGTTTTCTTCGATTTTTCAATTCCCCAAGAATCATCCAGAATGGATGAATGCCAAAAAATGTTCTAGTAATATTTCTTTATTTTAAAAAGTTGAAAAAAAGGGTTTTTCGAATGGTAAAATAAAATAATCTGACTTTTGATTTTTTTCAAGTGGCGATCACGACAACTATTAGGATTGTCGGCATAAAGACACTTTGCTATTCTGCATAAATCACCTTTAAAAAAACAAAAGATGGCATTGCTTTATGGAGTTTTATAAATTTTGATAAACTCCGCGTAGTGACCCCGGGGTCGATAAACATTTATTGGAAACTATCAATTACAACAAAATTATCGATCAAAAATCCGATTGACGTCGACAGAAATATTTCAGGTTGTTTAGAAGTTATCGACGATAAGTTTTGGTACAGTAGAACCCCTCAAGGGGCCATTGTATTTGCTCCTTATAACCGATTTTTGCTATAAACAGTCATGGATAATAAAAGTTTTTACACATGTACCTACTATGCAAATTATTTCTTAAATACGAATATTAAAGAACTTTAAAACAATACTTAAGTTGTTTTTCGTAATGAAGCATTTTTATCTTACCAATTGCGCTTTTCAGTTCTACAAGGCTATTGAAAAAGACATTGTGGTTAGGTGGAAACATCCAATAACAAAAAAAATCATCTCTAAAAAATCCCTACTTTTTTCTGCAAGTTGTTCTGCTTCTTCTTTTAACATGGCCCCATTTATGGGCACATTGGATTCGCGATTCACTTTTAAAAAAGGCTTTATCTAATTTAGCATTTTCTTCACTTTTGACGAAAATTAACCAGTTGAACTCCTTGTCCTTGTTTTTTTAAAATTGTTGATAATGTAGAACTGACTAAATTTTTCTCTTTGCACATTACAACTTGTTTTTTACCACTTTCGAACTCTTTCATTATTGATATTTTTTCTTTGATAGAAAATGTTTTTCTTTTTGAGGACGACGTATTGATACAGAAAAATGAAGTGTTCTCTGCTTAAAAAGTTATTCAAGACTGAGAAAGTAAGAAAAATAAAACCATTAGCAGGCAAAACACATTTCCAAAAAAATTCTAGTATACAATACGTAATAGAGACTCGCACGATTTTTATTTCTTCTAGGAACTCTCGTGATAACCGATCTGTTTCGGAAATTTCTCAGAATTTTTCGCCATTACCGATCTTTGATCTTGGACAAAATACAGTATGATGAAAAAAAGGCGACCGTGTTAACCCACACGTTATAAGTGATCTTTTATTAAAGACGAATTCGAAGACCAAAATTAGATTTGTGCTCTTATCAGTAAGATATAGACTTACCTTTTTAGAAAAGAGAAATCTATATAATTAACAGTTTTAAAATAATTTCATTGTTAAAGTCTAGATTTTGATACTGTTAACGGTGTTCTTAAAAAAATGTGTAAAAAGTCTATTGAAATAAACTTTATTGAAGATCTTTGGATACCATTTCTTGGCTCCAAAGAAAATTTATCAATGTTGCAACATTGCAAATATCCTAGGATACAGAAAATGTCCAAGTAATATTCAATTATTGGAAACGGTAGCAACAAAAAAAAATCAATTTTCAATGTTGTTTGTTCTGTGAAACTTGAACGATTAAAATCAAAAAGGTTTCCTAGATACGAAAAATACCTGAATGAAATTGTTTTTTAGTAAAAGAAATTTGTGCAATATTGCCGCTTTGTGCTGTTAGACAAACTGTTTAAATTTTGAAAAGAATTTTGGAATGATGGTCACAATGTTTCAATAAAAAAGGACGCGCCTGTTTCAATCGTGGGCGCCTTTTCATCAGCCTGTATATCCACCTCAATTCCAGAAGAATACTAGCTATAGAGAGAGAATTTAACAAGAGTAGGATACAAATCGGCAAGGAACCAGACAATTTACTCGTTATAGCCGATTTTTCGTTATATCCGGGACTCATTATAGAGGAGTTCCACTGTATCAGAAAATTTTTCGGTAATAATAATGGGCTATGACCTATGCACAGGTGCGCCAGAACTCTCGCCCCAGAGAAAAATGTCATGTAATGTAAGATACCAGAAATATGGAAAAAATGTTAAAAAAATTCTATCCATAAAAATTTCCAAGTTTAAATTTTGCACTTTTATTTCTGTTGGAAAAATAATTTTCTAAGTTTCTTTTCCACAGGCTAATATAAGAAGAAACAAGGAAGCTGTATCCTAAATTGTAATTCTGTTTAATGTTATTTGTGACTTTTATTGGCAAAAATTTTGTACCTTTACTAAATAATTATAAAGAACATTTACAATATACAATACATCAGTATTATTAAATAGACATAAAAAATGTCAAATGTCAAAAAATAAATGTTAAAATTTTTTGAGATAGAATTTTTTAAACATTTTTTCCATGTTCTTGGTGTCTTATCTTACTTGAAATTTTTCTCTGGAGCTCGAGTTCTGACACACCCTGTATAGTTCCGAAGTTATTGGTGGTTACTAAAATCACGACGAAAATTTTGCATCCCAAAAATTCAGAAGTAAAATTTTTACTAGAAAAACATTTCATATCCAGTTCTTTACTTTTAACTTTTTTTGGTATGGTGTTTCAAATTTTTGTTTCACATACGTCCCATTGAAGTTCCTTTCCTATCATGCGACTAACAGGGAAAAAGGTTTGTCAAATACAGTGTAAGTAATTTATTTTAACGATAAAAGAAAACGAAAGTGATTGTTTTAATACAATAATTATATAAAAAGCGACAAAATACACTGAAAAAAAGTAAATAAATACACTGAAAATAATACGTAATACAGTATAAAGTTGTTTCTCAATTATTTTAAAATGGCTTTCCACATAATCTTCTAATAGACTCCAATGACGTCCATATATACCCAGGTTGTGCAGGAGCATGTACTGCTGGATAAGGCGTATTTTTCGATTTGTAATAATCAGAGGGTGCATGCATCACAAATTCCATGCATTCCAATTTTCTTGGTACATCTTCTTCTGGACCTAAAATTCTAATAAAATAAAATCTCAATTTTTCGCACACGTTACCTATTATGTAAGTAGCAGGATCAAAACCTTCCTCAGGCGGGGGACTCTCTTGAGTAGGCAAAAGCCACGTAATCACAGCACTTTTTTCACAATACTGATCTGTTAACAACCCCTTAATTTGAGCATAAAAAATATCACCATCCTCATCCTGCATTGAAACAATATCACCCACTTGAATGTAACTCCCCTAAAACAAAGCATAAACCTTGATACAGTACAATTCTAACTATCACTTACTTTATAAAAAATTGATTCAGAGGTGATTGTAGTGGCCACAGCAGAGGGTGCTTTAATTGGCGTCTTCTTAAAAATGCCTCTTCTGCCTCTACCCTTCGGTGCCCCAATTTTAGGGATGGCAAAAGGATTAAGTCTAGTTTTATATGAGCGAGTAGTTCGTTGTTTACGTTTAATGGATTTGGAATCTTCAGATTTATCATCGTTTTCCTCCTCTTGTTCCGATTTGAGGTTATCCTTAGCTTCGTTAACACAGTCTAAACAGATTGCCCCCAGATTTTCAGCGTTAGTCCATAGTGGAGATTCGCTGGTTTCGCACTTCAGGCACACGGGGGTAGTGCCTTTGAGGGGCATTTCAATGGCTTTCTTATTTTGAGGTTATGTTGTGCGACAAACGTCAATCTCAAGGTCAAACATTTATCCACGATAATAATATTTGCAAAATTGGCACAAAAATAATGTAATAAATATAATCAAAATATAAAAAAGTATTTTTTTTTATTATTTCATAAATAATTCAAGCATTTTTATTATTAAAATATGGTAAATTGTTGGTTGCATAGCACACTGGCGTATTTTTGTGCTCTAGTTTCTTCTTTTATTTATTATTTTATAACTAAAATAGTGGCAGCTATAAAGTAATGATAATAATAATTAGTTGTTTATACACCAAGGCAGTAAAATGATACAAGTCTGAGGTGATGAGCAGAGCGAGCGAGGCGAGTAACAAGCGAGTTTGATAAAGATACTTTACTGACGTGTTGCATACAAAATTTTATGACCAACGGTACAAATTCATAAAAAGATAGAGCAAAAAATTGAGAAATTGTAAGTTATCACATTTTATTATGTCAATATAACAGATATAAAAATAACAGAAAATACAAAACAATTTTTGACAGTTACCTAAAACTATTATGAGCTGATAAATAGGTATTTGCAACAGGTAAAAATGCTTGATTTGTACAGTGCAATAAAGTGTTATTTGTTTACTTCTGAAAATTGCTATGGTAATGCATGGGTCTATTGACGGTTGGCGATAAAATATAAAATATCGTTTCTCTTGATATCTTCATGTCTGTTAATTAAAATAAGTTATTAATGAATCAAAACGTAGGTCGTAGTTTAAAGGATAAATAAATGATAAGAGAAAATTTGTTTCATTGTTTGTTGAAACCATTTCTGTTATCTAAATTTTTTAAAATAATTAATTATTTATTCGATAATATTCAGACAAGCAGGTTAAATGACGTAATTTGCATGTGTTTGTTTAATCATATGAATTTAATGTCTCATAAAAGCAAGTCAAGATCAAAAGAAAGGTTTCAACATAAATACTCATATTATGATTCTCTGAATCTTTCATTAGTAGGAATGAAATTTCAAAAACCATTCTTAATATTATTTTTCACGAAAACTTAAATTAAAAAATGTTACACTTCATGTTATTTCTATAAATAATGAATGAATAAATAAATCACTCCCTTATCTTGACGATGTATTTGCACAAAACCTTGCATTTGAAAAGAAATAATTTATTGTGCTATTATTTTACACAATTACATGTGACATCAAAATTTTCACTACCTTAAATGAAAATATCTCGATTCCCAGGGCTATTAACATAAATAAATTATTATGACGCAATTAGTTGTGCTGAATTCGAATAGAGTAAGTTTGAGCCAGTATAAACCAGAGATTTTTTAAAGATGTACAAGTAAAAAGCAAGTTTTTTGGACCTGCCTTGTTGCCAGGTCTCCCATATACCAAACACGTGCGTCTACAATATGGTTGTTAATTTTGTAAGCGTGGGACAGTTTTGCCAACACATTCCAAATAATTAATCAACTTAATTCTTCGAGATGGATACGCGGACATCCGTTGATTATTTAAATTATAGCACTTGAGTAATTAAGGGTGACGCAAGCAACAGTGGCGTATGAATTTTTTTTAGATTTTGCCGATTTGAAGTAAATTTGTGGGTTTGCCATTAGAAAAGGGTTTTTTATCTTAAGTCAATATTAAATAAAAAAAAATAAGTAGTAGCAGAGATAGGTGCTATGTATTTATAGATTAAGTGCCGCCGCGCTTGATCTAAAAACAGGTGGGGCTGTGTATGTTGTAGCTGTACAGTGATTTTACACACATAATGACAATAAATCTGAATCAGATGTTAAATAAATCAATAAAAAATTCGGTTGTTTTGGTTATTTTTTTGTTCTCATTTTTTTACTCCTAATCTTCTAATTTTTAAAGGAGTAAAAATAAATGTAATTAACTCATTTAATGTTCTATTT